TGCTAACACAAACAGTTGTAATGTTTAACCCAAGACAAATCCAAAAGCACCATATGGGAATTTAAACAATTCATGTGTCTCCTCCTCTCTCCTTTTTCTCCCCCTCTCTCCTCCTCTCTCCTTCTCTCTCTCCTCCTCTCTCCTCCTCCTTCCTCCTCTCTCCTTCTCTTTCTCCTCCTCTTCTCCCCTCCTGTCTCCTCAGCAGCGGTTGGTGGAAGTGCACAGAGCCTCTAACCGGAGTGACCCCCTCTCTCCCCCTCCTCCCCCTCTGATCCCGGTCCTGGTCATGGCCTGTAACCGTGTGACTGTGCGGCGCTGCCTCGACAAACTGCTGCAGTATCAGCCGTCACAGACACACTTCCCCATCATCGTGTCCCAGGTAACACAACACAACACACACACAGTCACAGACACACTTCCCCATCATCGTGTCCCAGGTAACACAACACAACACACACACACACTCACAGTCACAGACACACACACAGTCACAGACACACACACACACAGTCACAGACACACTTCCCCATCATCGTGTCCCAGGTAACACAACACAACACACAGTCACAGACTCACACACACACGCACACACAAAATAATCAATATGGTTCTAAACTGCACCTGGACAAACTGAAATTGATCTGTCTCTGTGTCTCTGTCTCTGTCTGTGTCTCTGTCTCTCTCTGTCTCTGTGTCTCTGTCTCTCTCTCTGTCCTCTGTGTCTCTGTCTCTCTCTGTGTCTCTGTCCTGTGTCTCTCTGTGTCTGTGTCTCTCTCTCTGTCCTCTGTGTCTCTGTCTCTCTCTGTGTCTCTGTCCTCTGTGTCTCTGTCTCTCTCTGTGTCTCTGTCTCCTCTGTGTCTCTGTGTCTTTGTCTCTCTCTGTATCTGTCCTGTGTCTTTGTCTCTCTCTGTCTCTCTGTCTCCTCTGTGTCTCTGTGTCTTTGTCTCTCTCTGTATCTGTCCTCTGTGTCTTTGTCTCTCTCTGTCTCTCTGTGTCTCTGTCTCCTCTGTGTCTCTGTCTGTGTCTCTGTCTGTGTCTCTCTCTGTCTCTGTCTGTGTCTGTCTCTCTCTGTGTCTCTGTCCTCTGTGTCTCTCTGTGTCTGTGTCTCTCTCTCTGTCCTCTGTGTCTCTGTCTCTCTCTGTGTCTCTGTCCTCTGTGTCTCTGTCTCTCTCTGTGTCTCTGTCCTCTGTGTCTCTGTCTCCTCTGTGTCTTTGTCTCTCTCTGTATCTGTCCTCTGTGTCTTTGTCTCTCTCTGTCTCTCTGTGTCTCTGTCTCCTCTGTGTCTTTGTCTCTCTCTCTGTATCTGTCCTCTGTGTCTTTGTCTCTCTGTGTCTCTGTCTCCTCTGTGTCTCTGTCTGTGTCTCTCTCTGTCTCTGTCTGTGTCTGTCTCTCTCTGTCTCTGTCTGTGTCTCTGTCTCTCTCTGTGTCTCTGTCTCTCTCTCTGTCTCTCTGTGTCTCTGTCTCTCTCTGTCTCCTGTGTCTCTCTCTCTCTCTGTGTCTCTGTCTCTCTCTCTCTCTCTGTGTCTCTCTCTGTCTCTCTGTGTCTCTCTGTCTCCTGTGTCTCTCAGGACTGTGGACATGAGGACACCGCTGCTGTCATCCAGAGTTATGGTTCCAGAGTGACCCACCTGAAGCAGCCGGAGCTGGGCCTGGTCCCAGTGAGTCCGGACCATAAGAAGTTCCAGGGCTACTATAAGATCTCCAGACACTATCACTGGGCCCTAGACCAGGTGTTCCGGATCATGGGGCACTCTGCTGTGGTCATCGTGGAGGACGACCTGGAGGTCAGACACACCATCTGCAAGACAGCTTTATACATGCAGCGTGTTCTTCATCTCACTCAGCAGCAAGTCTGACAAACCAGGACTCTGGCCTCTCTCTGGTCTCTCTCTCTGGTCTCTCTCTGGTCTCTCTCTGGTCTCTCTCTGGTCTCTCTCTGGTCTCTCTCTGGTCTCTCTCTGGTCTCTCAGGTTAGCATTGTCCATCTGTTCACAATCTAAGCCAGGTCTTGAATATGAGAAACGATTTAGTTTCTCACAACAAATAATTAACTAAGTACTAAAATTTATCTGGTGTGCTTTCTTCCCTCTCACCCTGTCCCCTCTCTGCAGGTGGCCCCAGACTTCTTTGAGTACTTCCTGGCGCTGCACCCGGTCCTGACCTCTGACCCCAGCCTGTGGTGTGTGTCTGCCTGGAACGATAACGGGCGTGAGGGCTGGGTGGACCCGGCGCAGGCCTCGCTCCTCTACCGCACAGACTTCTTCCCTGGTCTGGGCTGGATGATGCTGCGGCGACTGTGGGATGAGCTGGAGCCAAAATGGCCGCCGTCCTTCTGGGACGACTGGATGCGTCAGCCACAGCAGCGCAGGGGCCGAGCGTGTGTGCGTCCTGAGATCTCTCGCACCATGACCTTCGGCCGCCACGGCGTCAGCCTCGGACAGTTCTACGACAAGTACTTAAAGTTCATCAAACTGAACTCTGAGTTTGTGCCTTTCACCAAACTGGACCTGAGCTACCTGCAGGAGGAGGCGTACCAGGTGGCCTTTGACCAGCAGGTCTACAGTGCTCCTCTGGTGTCCTATGAAGACCTGAAGCAGATGAAGCTCCAGGGGCCGGGGCCCTTCAGGCTCCAGTACTCCTCCAAAGAAGCCTTTAAAGTCATGGCCAAGAACCTGGGCGTCATGGAGGACCTCAAGTCTGGGGTCCCCCGGGCTGGATACAGAGGAGTGGTCACCTTCTTCTCCAGGGGACAGAGAGTGTATCTGGCACCACCTGCAGGATGGAAGGGGTATGACACCACCTGGAGCTGAGACCAGAAACCACCGAAAGAGACCACCGAGAGAGACCTTATGGTGAAGGAGCAGTGATGCCTGTAGTGAGAGGCAGACGGCTGATTAAAATTAAAGTGACCTTAGGAGCTGACCCAGGAATGTTAATGTTAGGATCAAATACATATACTTTATAGGATGGAACTCATGTACTCTATGTAGGTACATTGTAAACAAAACTTTTTTTTCCCAAAAATTATGTTTAGCAACAAAATAATACATACTAGTAATTGTCCATCAGTACGTACAGCCCTGCCTCCACCAGCCCTACTCTGCGCTTCTCTACCCTACCCTACTATACCCTACTCTGCGCTTCTCTACCCTACTCTGCGCTTCTCTACCCTACCCTACTATACCCTACTCTGCGCTTCTCTACCCTACCCTACTATACCCTACTCTGCGCTTCTCTACCCTACCCTACTCCTACCTGACCCTACTCTAACCTACCCTACCCATCCTCTACCCTACCCTACTGCTATTCTACCCTACCCTAATGCTACTCTACCCTACTCCTACTCTACTCTACCCTACCCCACTCAGAGCAGGTGATGTATAAAGTATATAAAGCGGTGCCAACATGAGGTGAAACCACTTGTTCTTGTTGTAAAGTTCAGTCCATGATGTGCCTTAAACACGTGGTTCACGCTGCAGTTATTGACAATCCCATGTTAGCTCACTGTTAGCTCAGTTGCTCTCTCTGGTCTTTGCCAATAACTACATTTGTTGATAATATAACATTATTATAATAATCAATGGGCGTAGATGCCAAAGTGGTGAAACATGTCAAATTCTGCGTCTGAAATATAAAGATAATGCTAACGCTAATGCTAATGCAAATTTTTAAGCCTTAGAAATATGACAAACTATTACCAAGGTGTTGATCATCTGGATACAGTCTGGTTTTAACGTGGCGCTAACAGTGAGCTAGCTAGCCCATTATCTGTGTGTATAAAGTCTATTTCTGTGCCAAATAGTTGAAATAACGTGAGTTGTAAAAGAGTATAGTTTATATAAAAGAGTATAGTTTTATATAAGTGCCTTACAGTAAGACTCAGCTTACGACCCTCAGCTTTAGTTCAGAACCCCCTGTATGATCGGATGATTGTAACTTCATATAACTGTGATTTTTACTCAAACTGAAAGAAGGTTGTGCGAACGTGTCGCTCTCAGGTCTTTTTACATAATAAACGGGTTTACTTTTAGACCCGGATCCAAACCGGTCTGAACCAGGACCAAACGTGCACATTAAACACACTTCAAAACTGTCTCTTTGTTTATTACATTATTCCTCACCTTTAGCTCCATCCATGCTAACATCCAGGACCGAGGCTGTAGACCCAGACTACATGTATGCCACTTTGGAGTTTGATAACTTAACGTGAGGAGATAGTTTCCACTGAATAAATGAGTCATCAAAGGTCAAAAATACAGGGTCTCATCATCACAAAGAGAAATGAGAGTTGAGATTTTACAATTATTTGTTAGACGTTTTGACACCAGAGAGAGAGACCCCAGAGAGAGACAGCTAAAAGGGTACCGAGGGCCCAAGGCGGGGAGGGGCCCTCTAAAGTGTGTTGTTTATATGTATATGTAGTGGGGGCCCATTGATTGCGTGCCCAGCTCAACGTGCCCGATTCCACCTGCAGGTGGATCACTGACTTCCTGACGGACAGGAAGCAGCAAGTGCGTCTGGGGAAGAATGTGCGCTCTGCAGAGGAAGTGATCGGCCACAGCCTTCTATCGCTGCAGGACCTGTACGTTGCCCGAGCTCGAGGCCGGGCTGGTCGTATCACAGCCGACCCCTCTCACCCTGCACATGGACTATACATAGTTCCCACATGACGTCACTACATACGGGGATTTGCCGACCCGGCGACATTTGTGTTGGCATTCTGTGGGAAAAACAATAGAAAAAGAAGCTGAAACTGTCGTGATAAAGTTGAAAATGGTCATCTCCTGCTGGGTCAATGGATGTTCAAATCGTGCCGGAGGTTCCGTTAAACTTGGATTTTACAGTATACCCATCATTAGACTTCATGAATGTGAGAAGACTAAGCTTTTGTCAGAACAACCACGGAGGTTATGGCTTGCGAAGATAAACAGGCAAGAAACTCCCTCAAAACACGCAAGAATATGCTCGGAGCACTTTGTGTCAGGTGCGTATCGTATCTTATAATGTGTTGACAGACGTAATTTACTCAGTACTAACTTGTGTATGCTGATACCTGGTAACTTGAGAGTTTCATTATTTAGCGTTAGATTACTTTATTATGAGGAGGATCGGTGTCGCGTCCGAGGCTCTCGAGGGAAACGTAAATGTATTAAATAGATAATAATAGTTCTATGGTGGGCTAAAACAATGTTCACAAACAGCATTGCTTCTGTAAAAAGATCTGTGTCATAAAATAAACTGCTCTTTACGCCTGGAAAAATCAGTTGCCCACCATTCACCAAAACATACGGTCAAAAACGCGGAAATAAACAATAACAGCAATCCAGAGTGTCCGTGTGGCATTAGCATTAATTAAATTAATTGTTAATATAATTAAAATAATTAAATGGAGCTCCAACTGGTATTAAATCTAAAGTTTTTGAGAAATGTTTGCATTGCTTGTTAATTTTTGCTGCATAATTTGATCAAATATGTAAAACATGTCCGTAGCACGTTAAACTGTGGTGCCATTGTATTAATATACAATTATTTGCTCAAAAGTTGCCCTTTTTTTCCAATTTGCGTTTGAATATCTACATTTATTCTCATTCTTCTGTTTAATGGAATGCACAAACACAGCAGCGTGCCATCAAAGATGGCGTCTCCGAGGAGGTCATGTGACATTCATTGGTCTGTGGGAACTATGTATAGAGGGATCCTACGGTCACGTGACTAGCAGCCACGGCAACCATACTGGAGGACAACCTCGGCGAGTAACAGCCCTGCTAGCTATCTATAACTGGACGTTCAAAACTAGAACTCTCTCGAACTACATGAAAACTGAACATAGAATTTGAAACTTCAGCAGTTAGTGACCCAAATATATACTCAACCTAAATTCATGAATCAGATCCTCTGAAAATGCATCCTAAAATGTATTATTAATGTTTATCGTTACATCCAGGTTTACCGCGGTCGCATATTGTCGCATTAAAACAGTGTTTTTTCATGAAAACGTGAACAGAAAATTCTGAAAACCTCTGTGCACGTGTATTAAGAATGTATATGTATAATGTATTCTCCGATTAACATTTAATGTGTTTATTGTTACACCATGGATCTATGTGTGGCTACACTGCAGTGGAAATAATGAGATTACATTCAAATCAATGGAGCTTTCTGCGTCTACTGTGAGGAGCCGTATATTTTATTAATAAATACTAGTACGGGGCACCCTCGAGCACGGCTCAGTTGTTCACATGTCTGCTGGCCTTCGGTAAGTCAGATACCCTGTGAACCGAGTGAGGTCCTGTGTGAGACCAAATATATAACAGCTATGCGACAAGCTAAGCTACAGTCTATGGAGCAACCCCACGTTGCAGTCAGACAGATATGTTTTATCCTTAAACTTCTGTTTGTTTCGGAATAACACTAAATCCGCCATCAAATTGATTTCACTTAGCAGAAATGAAATGATCCGAGCATATTCGGGCGCTCTGGGGGCTATTAGTTTTTTGTTGTTGCGTATGGTTGTGCCATTTCTCTCTCGTTTCTATGAGATGTCTTCTGTTTTTGAGCCGTGTGAAGTAAGGACGGCTGGCAGTCGGTAACACAGCTTATTTTCCCTGTCTCTCTTTTTGCTGCAGCCAAAAACTGCAAAAAATTTGAACATGTTAATGCGGTCCCGGGTGCACGCCACTATCATACAGCGTTTGCTTGTCCTCCAGTATGGCGGATGCCCCGCGAGGTCGAGGCATCGTGACGTCACGTGAGATATCTCTATTCGTCCCGGAAACCGGATTCGTCCGGAAGTTCAGTTTGCGAATGTCAAAAAGTTTAATATGTCCTTAAGTGGTCACTGGTTAAGTTTAGGCGTCTGATTAAGATGGTTAAGTTTAGGGTTAAGGTGGGTTGGGGTTATTTTATGAGAATGGCTGGTTAAGTTTAGGCATAAATACGTAGTTTTTTATTCTCGAGGTCGGCGTTACGTCACGAATCATGTGACCTGCGTAGCAACCAACCGCCGCCATGTTTGAAGGGTAAAACAAACCGAAGGCGAATCCAAAAGGTATCTATTTACATATGTTTTGCCGTGGATTATGTCAGTTATGGATACTAACGGACAACTTTGAATTATTGATGAATGATATCTGTGTATGCGAATGTATGTTGGTGGTGTAAACATTCAGGGCTTGCTTAGCTGGAGGCAGGAATCTAAATTCCTATCTATTTCCATTGTAGCTGTTGTCATAGTAACAAAGAAATGTCTAACTGTTGTTGGAAATATCAGATAAACCTTATTTTATTAACGCAAATGTAATTCCTCTTGTTCTTGCACCTTAAGCCACAACAGGACCACCTTTTTCAGTTGTAGTTTTACACTTATAATCGCCAGTTTTAGTTTAATCTTATTTCTCTTGCCTGCAGCTGATGTCACTGATGATGTATATACCACATGTATGGAGTGAATGTAAACACTCATGTAAAGCGCTTTGTAACTAGCTACATGTCTGTGAAAGGCACTATATGAATACAGATCTTCTTCTATTGCAGCATGTCATATCAGTATATTGACAGTCTCCTAGCGCCTGCATTGACCAGGTACCACAGAAAGCTGTCGCTTGTAGGTTTACAATCTTGTCCCTATCGGCATCCAGCAGAGTCCTGGGAAAACAACCCAAAGGCATGGCCCAGGCTCGAGTATCCAGACATATACAATTACATCATCAAGTCCCCTGGTATGAACACCATGTGTACATACCATGTGTCCTACACTTGTAGTAATATTTAAATACCCATCAAGCATCGATAACATTAACTATGTTATGACATTCAAAAGCATTCTGTTACAATGTGGCTGTAATGAGCTCAGTCTGTCAGTGGCACAGCTTGTACAGTGTAAGTGAGGGACACAGTTTTTTTCAAAAGCCAAAAAAGGCTAACTGCAGAAATTCCACTTATTCCCCACACAACTAGTGCATTTCATTGTTGCTTATCGGTGTAGAGCTGCCGACCATTATGCATAGCGATGTCATAACATAGCAAAGAAAACAGTGGCATGGCATTGGTATTATTTTGTTATTCTTTGATTTGCCCCTCAATGTGTCCATTCATTTGAGATTACATTTCTATTTAAATTTTAAAGTAAAATGGCATACCCTCTTCACACTTTTTATGACTGGTTATTTTTTGCAATAACCAGTCATCAGATTACATTTTATTGAATGTAGTGTCTAACGACAACAGCAAGACTTTAACATTTCTAATGAGAAATAGTTTATTAGACATTGTATAAGTAGAAATACTAAAAGACGTGAAGATTGACATGAAAACATTTGTATCATTTACTTGCAATTTGTCAGTGTTTTTGCTCTGGTCAATTGTCACTCTCCTAGATGTGATATGTTAATGTATAAAAATAAAATTATTTCCCTTTCTTCATTTTCTTTTGTTTCAGGTGTATTTAGTATTATGATGGTGGAGACCGAATCATCGCTGATTTTGTCAATGCCTAATTCCGTCTGCTGCAGGTCTTGCATTTCCATGCAGGGTGTTGACACTTCTTGTTGCAACTCTTCTGGGACACTTGTCTCCTCAAATTCCAGTTGCTTCTTCACCTTCCTTTCCTTTCGTGATACTAGAGTAGTGGATGGTGCTGAAAAAAATAGATAAAAGGTATATATTTTGCAAATGATCACAGAAATTTTAAGTCATGGCCTCATATTTATAATAATAATAATAATGCATCAGTTTTATGTAGTGCTTTTCTGGACACTCAAAGACGCTTAACATTGCACTATTCATTCACTCCATACTTGGTGGTGGTAAGCAACTATTATAGCCACAGCTGCCCTGGGGTAGACTGACTGAAGCGAGGCGACCAGTCTGCGCCATCGGCCCCTCCGACCACCACCAACCACTCACTCACTCGGCTTCCTGGTGTTACTAAACGGCAGTATATTTAGTATTGAGTTGGATTGGGACTACAAGTCATAATAGTCGACTATGACTAGAAAGCAGCGACCAGTAGACTAGTTTTGTACCAAGAATTTCCAGGCTAGGCATTATGTACAAAAATCTGCATGACTAGTTACTTTGTAGATGCAATGACTTTTTCATACAGGAGGTAATTTTGTTTTCAAGGAAAATACATTTGTTAGCAAAATCTGTATTTTTACACAGATTACCATTTTTGTAGCAGTTAACCTCCCAAGTACTACTTTTTCAAATTTGTCATTAGAAATCAACATGTATTTTTTATTTATGTATTTCATATGGGGGACAACATTCTATTTCACAAGGTGCTTGTATCAATTGTTGTACACAACCTCATTGCAATATGGAATCTTTAATTCTTAACTGTGCATTGGAAATGCAGCTCATTATCTGCAGGTACGGTTTTACTGCAGTGTAAAATAAGAGCAAGAAACACAATTTGCTACTATATATATGTCTGCATAAACAAAATCGACTGCAATTTTTTAGTTTTAAATTTCAAGTGTTGTGTCAAACAAATTCAGATAATTTTTGGTCATTGATCTAGGAGCAAACTAGATGCATGTTGATCACACTACAGTTTGATGGGGTTTTTTTTCTGTTAACGATAGGGTACTGTGGGTAGCAAACTTACCTTTTCTTTTCTGTGCTCTCTTGAAGCGATCAAGTGTGGTACTCTTAGTCAATTCCTTCAGCACTGCTTGCGGGAAAATGGACGGAGTGTAATCTGGGTGTGCGGGGTTGTTGTTCTTCTTTCCTGTTCAAGGAGCGGAGTGACAAAATCTAAAGATTCCCACTGAGTAGCTCCAAGCCAGCTGGAGCCATTTCTCTCTCCTTTCTGGCTCAGTTGCCTCGCTAGGGATCATGTAAAAGGATAGGTCACTCCTTTTTACGCTGTTGTTGGTACAACAAACAATACAACAGTTTTTCGGCATGTTTTGTAACGCTCGTTTGTCTTTCGCTTTGTGTTGCTTAATGGCGGGCGCTGGTTTGTTTTACCCTTCGCCGCGTTGCTATGCGCGCGCAGTGCATTATGGGAGTCCAAGTTCCCGGATGTCCGACCTCGAGAATATTTACTTCCGCTTCCGTCCTGATTCCGTGACGTAATCTCCTGCTGCGTGTGCTCATTGGATCAAACGAATACGGGAGTGACAGGCTCTATGCACGCACCACTTCCGCATTTCAGCTAAAGCCCCACTTCACTTCCTGTTCGCAGGAAATGGCTTGAGTGTCACTGGAGTTCAGCAGTGGTTTACACGAGTTTCCCAAATAATGCTCAAACGGGAATTAAACTGTAGGATACTGGGCATTTTTGGGACACAACAATGCTCTTTGATTGTGCTGTCATTGTGCTTTTATAAAGTTTACAAATCGCTCTGAGTGGCCACAGTCACAGCTCTACCTCAGAGAGAAAGCACAGCGACACTTTTGGGTCAGTCTCAGCTGAATGTATCGATCTAATTACTAAAAGACATCACTACAACTCACCACAAAGCCATAGCGATAGCATAGACAGGAAGTGAACGGGCTGTTCTTCGTTAACAGGAAATGATGTCACGCCTCCCCGTGCATATAGCCCATTCATCTGAACATGTCAAAATGAACACCCGAAATATTATAAACACATATTATATTCTGGATAGTAGCATATTAAATTAAAGTACTGCTTTAAGTCACCTCACTGTCCCCTATTCACTTTACTGCTGTTGCCTCATTACACTGCCTACTGTGCATAATGTGTGCACCATGTGCACTTGCATATTGTACATAGTAACTGTAATTATCCTATTTTAATTTTATTCCTTAGAAGTGTATGCTGATTTATTATGCCTTACTCTATTCTGGGCCCAGCAGAGGATGTACTTCCTGCGGCAGCTCAGGAAAGCCAAGCTGCCTGCACAGATGTTGGTGCAGTTCTACACGGCCATCATCGAGTCCATCCTCACCTCCTCCATCACCTCCTCCATCACCTCCTCCATCACCTGCTCCATCACCTCCTCCGTCACCGTGTGGTTCGCTGGAGCCACTACAGCGCATTGTGCGCTGTAGTGAGGGTGACCCCTCTCACCCTTCACATGGACTATTCCAACCACTCCCCTCAGGGAGGAGACTGCGGTCCATCCATAGACTGTATATATTAACGGACAGAGTCACGCCTATCTCCGCCGTTCTAACTAATGGGCCAAAAAATGTGCTCTATTGGATCAATCCAAAATGGCCGCGAGTGGTCCCGCCCACAAGAAAATTGTGAAAAAACGCATCTGCGCATGCATCAGCCGGCGCAACTCCATTCATTTGAACAAGAGACTTAAAAAATTCACAGCAAGTAAACTAGAGTGGACCAAAACACCCCCCTCAGCATTGACACACATGTGGAACGGAGCTTTGGGCCAAGAGCCAACTTTTGGTCCATCCTGTAAAGACGTTTTCGAGAGGTCTGCCAATGCTATATGTTAGCATTGGCTAATTCTTCTTCTGGGTCCACCCCCATCGGCCCGGGGTGGTATTGCAGCATGTCAGCGCACGTCATTTTGGCCACGTCTGAGCCGGGATCCACCCCCACTGGGTCCATCAGGACTAGAACCTCCCGCCACAAGAACAGTTTCTTCCCCTCTGCTGCTGGACTCTTGAACATTTCTTAACCTGTCCCCCCGCCCTTTATAAAGTCACTTTACTGCCCTTTATAAAGTCACTTTACTTCACTGTACTGCTGTCACCTTACATTGTGTGCACCATGTGCACTTGTAAAATGTAAATAGTAACTGTATTTTAAATTTAAATGTATTCCTTAGAAGTGTTTTTTATTCTTTATTTTTATTATCGCTTTCTGACTGTTGCACTGAGCCAAAGCAATTTCCAAGTCTGTGACTTCCTGTTACTTAAGTGGCAATAAAAAACATTTTGATTCTGATTTGTGTTTGTACAATATATACAGTCTATGGTTTGTACCCAAGCCCCAGAATTTGGTGCTACGCCCCTGCATGTGTTTAGAACTGTCCAAGCACCAATCTGTATTTATGACCTGTTATTATAATAGATCCATGTTATGACCACACACGTTGGAACTGTGATGTCACCGTTCAATGTAAAATAAAGACTTAAGTGACATTTCCCACCGGCCTCTGGCATTTCCCATCATCACAAAGCACGTGGAGGCACCGCAGTGTATACGGAAGCCGGGCGGTCCAAAGCTGAATCGCGTTTCATTTGAAACGGTTTCTGTTTACTTCATTCACCAACATGTTGTGACTGAGGCAGCGAGCTAGCCGAGCCTAGCTAACAGTGAGTGAGCTAGCCGAGCCTAGCTAACTCAAATATGAAGAGTTCGGGGGACACGCACACGCAACGGATTTATAATGAAGCGAAAACCACCCAACTTTTACTCACTTTACTTATTTATGGACTTTCACTCCGCATCTAACACAAACTCAGTCATTTGTGTCGCTGTTGGCTCCTAGCATGAGCGGCTAGGCTAGGCTAACACCGGCGTCTGTCTAAAATCAGCCCAGTGTCAGTGTGACATATATGTATTGGTGTTTTATTTATGAGTGTTAGTTGTGTCTCTCTGGGCACCGCACCCACACACCTTTTATTCCTATATTTAGTAGTGTTTTGAGAGTTTTAGTGCTTAGGCCGCAGATGGAACCAGGGGCTCAGCGTGAGAGTCCAGCCGGGTCAGGGGAGTCGGACACCGGGGAGTGGAGAGAAGAGGCTGCGGCTGGAGAGGCGGAGGAGAAGCCGAAGGGACCTGGGACTGATGGTTCATACGCTTTCATTAGTTTATATCACACATGTATTATTTTACAGATGCAGGGAGTGGCAGGGGACTGAGGCTGTAGACCCAGGACTGAGGCTGTAGACCCAGGACTGAGGCTGTAGACCCAGGACTGAGGCTGTAGACCCAGGACTGAGGCTGTAGACCCAGGACTGAGGCTGTAGACCCAGGACTGAGGCTGTAGACCCAGGACTGAGGCTGTAGACCCAGGACCGAGGCTGTAGACCCAGGACCGAGGCTGTAGACCCAGGACTGAGGCTGTAGACCCAGGACCGAGGCTGTAGTCCCAGGACCGAGGCTGTAGTCCCAGGACCGAGGCTGTAGTCCCAGGACCGAGGCTGTAGACCCAGGACCGAGGCTGTAGACCCAGGACCGAGGCTGTAGACCCAGGACCGAGGCTGTAGACCCAAGACTGAGGCTGTAGATAACAATCTCAAGAACACATAAGATGCTGTATCGATCTCATTTATATAAACATAAGTGTTGAAGGTGGTGTGGTGTTTGGAGATAAATGTGTGAATCGTGTGGATAGACAACAAGGAGGAAGAGGACAAGGAGGACCAGGGCTTCCAGAAGAAGACAAGCAGTGCTGGGTACGAGGAGGAGCTGGACCCTCGGATTCAGGTCTGTACCCTTCACCTGCTCTCAGATTATAGGAGAGAGACCCCAGTGCTTCTGAGGACAGAGGAGAGAGAAATAGACTGAGACTGTAGACCCAGGACTGAAACTGTAGACCCAGGACTGAGGCTGTAGACCCAGGTTCAGTGTGTGTTTGTGTCTCAGGATGAATTGGAGCAGCTGAACGAGGCCAGTGTAGAGATCAACAAACTGGAGCTGCAGCTTGACGTGAGTTTATTTATTTTTCTCCTGATGTCTCTGCTTTTCCCTCACTCAGACTTTAAAGAAGCTATACCCGATATTTTTTCTAAGTAGTTCATAAAAATGCTTTTTACTACATACAAGTTGTATCATAATACATCATTTAATTGAAAACTTGAGGTCATTGATTCAGCTGTGTAAGAATTACAAGCAGTGAAAAGTGCTGAGTAGAGTCTGAGCGGGCCGCTCTTTCTCCTCCACTCACACTCACTTCACTCACGAGCAGCGAACAGCCTGCGTCCTCTAGCCCCTACAGCGCTGCTTAACACCAGGGCTTCAGCTTCGAAATTCAAATATAATTCTAAAATAAAAAATGATGAACAAAATAATTGAATAAAAAAATGTGAACAAATATTAGACAACCCTTGTAATTCGAAATGTATTTAATGACTGCAAATAAAATAGTGAGCTCCCAAAGGTTTCACCGGGACGTGCTAGGCAGGTAACAGCTAAGCTAGCTAGCTGTTTCATGGTAACTTCCGGGTTTTTCGCAATCGCTTTTTGTCACTTTAAAACAGTATTTTTGTCATGAAAACGTTAACAGCAAATTTTGAAATCATCCGTGCATGTGTGTTAAGGATGTATATGTATACTGTATTGTCCGATTGACGTTTAATGGTGTTGATTGATAGATATGTAGTTGTTTATTGAGCGTGGCTAGCTCCGCTAGCTCCGTTGGCTTCTCTACACAGACGAGTGTGTAGTGACAGGTGCTGATAGCTTGTTGTACTTGCAGAGTAATGGCAGTATTTTACACACCTGAATTACAAACAGAGATTGCATTGGGGCTTCGGTCATTATTGGTTTGAGAGTTCTGTTATCAAGAAAAAATGATCGGAAGAATTGCTGCTGCTGCTTTGAGGAGCTCTATAACACATTATAATTAAATATTAGAATATATTCTAATGTTTTAAATTAATACATTCGGACGCGAAACTAGCGGTATTCTTTTACTTATATATTGTGTTAGCAGTGCGTTGCTTTAGTGCCATTTCATCAGTGATTGTTGCACAGCTTACAAGAAGTTGCGCTAATGCTAATGTTAGCATATTTATCAGATCGCAAATAAAACTAGGTGGCTCTGTGTTTATGAGAGCGTAGGGGAAATGAGAAGCCATTGAGCGAGTTGGGGGGCGGTGCTAAACATTCAAACATTGCAGAAACGGGTATAGCGCCTTTAAGTTAAATCTGACCATTTAACAGTCTCTCTCTGGTCTCTCTCTGGTCTCTCTCTGGTCTCTCTCTGGTCTCTCTCTGGTCTCTCTCTGGTCTCTCTCTCTAGTGTCTCTCTGGTCTCTCTCTGGTCTCTCTCTCTAGTGTCTCTCTGGTCTCTCTCTGGTGTCTCTCTCTGGTCTCTCTCTGGTCTCTAGTGATGGGTTGATGAAGCTTCATGAAGTGTTGAACCTTTCCATCCATTGGTTCGAGAAACCACTGGTAGGGGTGTCACACCAGTTACATTTTTAGCCTCACAAACAGTTCAAATGTCAACACAGATTTTGACCACCAGGGGGTTTGTGAGCATATGAAGCATCAAGAAATTAACCTTTTCTCGAACCAATGGATGGAAAGGTTCAACACTTCATGAAGCTTCATCATCACATCACTAGAGACTTTCTCCCGCGATTCGATTGTCAATATGCATTTGCCAAGTGTCAATATTGATTTTTTAAATTATTATTTTGTTATTAATATCAATACGTAATATATGGCTACATTACTCATTTCCATTCCATCTATCATGAAATAAAGTGTATTTTTTCACTTAACATTTTTCTTTTATTTATGCCATAAATTGGCATATGGTATATTTCTGACCAATATATTGAAAATTGTCATATCGTGATAAAATCGTTATTGTGATATTATCGTTATCGTGAGCTCACAGCCTTCGGAGTGAGCAGGCCTCTGCTCAGGACTTTTTATGACTCTGTGGTAGCTTCTGCCATTTACTACGCTGCCGTGTGCTGGGCCCCGGGCAGCACAGAGCGGGACAGAAACAGACTGAACAAGCTGGTCAGGAGGGCCAGCTCCACTCTGGGCTGCTCCCTGGACTCTGTGGAGGAGGTGAGGGACAGGAGGCCCCTGGACTCTGTGGAGGAGGTGAGGGACAGGAGGGTGCTAGCCAAAGCCACCTCCATCATGAACAATACCTCCCACCCACTGCACAGGGCTGTAGAGGAGCTGAGGAGCTCCTTCAGTGGAAGACTGAGGCACCCTCAGTGTAGGAAGGAGCGCTACCGCAGGGCCTTTATCCCCACCGCTGTCAGACTGTACAATAATGCCATTTTTCCACGGTCCGAGTACGGTACGTTTTGACTCTACACGGCGCGCCATGGCCCAGTTCGCGTGCTTTTCCATCAAAAATAGTAGCCCCAGTATGTCCTCAGCGTTGTCAGACCACGTCATTTACGTGTGACGCGTAACTAGTACTGGTGCGGTGCATGGATTTATTATAATACCAGAGCAAGTGTTTAATAGAAAGTTCAGCACAGCACGAGTAGTTTCTGAAAATTCTTATGTCTTAAAAGAATGACTCAGAAACTGTGAAGTCAGTGGTGCTGACTGCTCTGTACAATCTGAATGGGACATACCTGTAGCAACAGCAGCCTGTGTAGCAGAAGAGGAGGGCTGCATGTCCGAGGATACTGCTAGGCTATAGCTAATGCTAGCGCTAGCTCGAGACTCAGCTCACTCACTAACCCTGGATTCCAAAGCTACTACAATACTACACTTAACACATCTATCACTGCCCTCAGAGGAGGATCCGGGGTTTAAACTCGTCATATGGCAACTCGAGCAGTAAAGGACCGAGGGAGAAACAGCAGCAGCCATAGGGGTAGCGAGTTAGCGGCTAAGCTAGGCTAAGATAGGCTAGTCCGGACTCGGGTCCGGACTACAGCAGACTCTGAGACCAGACAAACAATCGATACCCAAACCTCAGCTACAATAATAATAAATGAATGAAACACAGTCTTGGGATACAATCACAGATTTATTGAAAACAAAAGTCAAGTGCAAAACCAACAGTTTACAAAGTCGTATGTACGTATGTCAGAGACCAGGGGCAGACCAGGTCCAGATGAGAATACTCCGGTCACTCATTACTCGTTGGTAATCTCCACACTTATGGGAAGGGATTATCATACAAATATACACACAACAACTTAAATACAAGCACAAAACAGAAACACGTGAATACTGCAGATAATACGAGATAAAGCACAGTAGCACAGGGAGGACGTTAGCTTAGCTTGCTATCGATAGCTAAATGAAGCTAAATGTAGCTAGCTCACTGTGTACAACAGACAATCGAGCATTTACACAGTAAATACATTTCAGTGAGAGCTTTAGGGGGTTCATAGCTAACCAGTTATTTCCAGGATTACCACAGACTAGTCACAAATCCAGAGCTGGGTGATCTCCTGAAAACTGTGTTGAGCCTCGAGCTGCCTTTGAATTCTTTCTTTGGCCTCAAGAGAGGAACGTGTGGACCTCGTCCACCGACCAGGACCAGGACTTTTGGGGCTTTCTGTGCAATTCCATTTCTCTGGAGTGAGGAGGACGTAATGTAGCCGAAGCAGAGCCGAGCAGAGCAGCCTGTTTTAAAGATGGCGGTTGAGTTGTTTTTCCCAAAGGGTCAGATGTTGCTTCCAGTGACGACACTCGTTGACCAATCAGTGTAAGTGGGCCGACGTGACGTCATGGCACGGGTAACATGGGGATGGAACCACGGCTGAGGCAGTACGGAAAAGTACTCAAATCTCCCATTCCATCCACTAGTGGAAAAGCAAAATAGGTGCGCCGTACCGTACCGAAATGAACTGAACTGACACTGTGGAAAAACGGCATATGTCACTTTAAATGATCACTGTGTGAAAACCTGCACTACTATTGACACTGTTTCCAATTGACACTTGTCACTTTTGTTGCACATAATTATTGTCACTTTTGTTGTACATATATCCTGCATGTTACATGTTTGCACATTTCCTCCTTTTGCACAATCTGAGTGTTCTATCCATGCCAAATGTGACATGTACATTTCTCCTATGTGAGATAAATAAAGCACAACTTAATCTTTGTATCGTGTATCGTATCGTATCGTGAGGTACCCTTAGGTTTCCACCCCTAGTAACTGGTACAGTTGTCTGCTCTTATACACACGCACACACAACATTCAATTAAATTAATCCGATAGGATGAAAGACAATTGTAACCCTATCAGTTGTTTAAAACCAATAATTTCTCAGTTTATTTGTTATATAAACTGAGAAAGTTTGTGTCTTTGTAACTTAATCATCAAGGCAAACCCACAAAGTTTGAGCAGATCCTCTGCAGTACTTCATGAATCGCTCCATTTCCCGAGGCTTCAAACGTCATCAGAAACGTCACTCACCGAAAACAACTCAGGCTTCGGCTGCGCTCCGCTAGAACTTCAGAGATTTCTCGGCTCACGACCCATCACTTCTGGTCTCTCTCTCTGGTCTCTCTCTGGTCTCTCTCTGGTCTCTCTCTCTGGTCTCCCTCTCTGGTCTCTCTCTCTGGTCTCTCTCTCTGGTCTCCCTCACTGGTCTCTCTCTCTGGTCTCTCTCTCTGGTCTCTCTCTCTGGTCTCTCTCTCTGGTCTCTCTCTCTGGTCTCTCTCTCTGGTCTCCCTCTCTGGTCTCCCTCTCTGGTCTCCCTCTCTGGTCTCCCTCTCTGGTCTCCCTCTCTGGTCTCCCTCTCTGGTCTCCCTCTCTGGTCTCTCTCTCTGGTCTCTCTCTGAATCTTTGCCGATGGATAAACCCTCCTTGCTCTGCTCAGCGGCTCTAACCCGAGCTCCTGTGGTTGTTTTGCAGGACGCTCGCTCCAACTACAGGAAGATCCTCACAGAGTCGGCTCGAAAACTCAACACTCAGAGCTCTCAGCTCGGAACCTGCATCGAGAAGGCACGACCGTACTATGAAGCACGCAGGCTGGCTAAGGAGGTACCAGAGGGACAAGAGGGAGAGACCAGAGAGAGAGACCAGATAGAGAGAGACCAGATAGAGAGAGACCAGATAGAGACAGCGAGAGAGACCAGAGCGAGAGAGACCAGAGTGTGCTCCTCCTCAGGCACAGCAGGAGGCGCAGGAGGCCGCCCTGAGGTTCGAGCGCGCCTCCTCTATGCACAGTGCGGCTCGTGAGATGGTGTTTGTGGCGGAGCAGGGACTGACGGCCGACGGAAGAAACACACTGGACCCAACATGGCAGGAGATGCTAAACCACGCTACAGGAAAGGTACACACACACACACACACGCACGCACACGCGCACACACACACACACACATATACATGGCTCCTGCTGAACAATAACCCTACCTCATGAACATCTTGTCATTTTGTCTCTCCCTCTCTCTCCCTCCCCTCTCCCCCAGGTGAATGAGGCAGAGGAGGAGAGGCTGCACAGTGAGAGAGAGCACATGCGTGTGACCAAAGCGTGTCAGGAGGCGGAGGCTCGAGTCCAGACGCTGCAGAAGTCTCTCAAACGAACCATCCTCAAATCCAAGCCTTACTTTGAACTGAAGGCCCAGTTCAACCACATCCTGGAGGTCAGAGGGCAGGGGTCTTGTGTCCTGGGTCTCCTCCTGGTCTCCTCCTGTGGGACATCCCCAGATAGGCCTGTCGCAATATTCAATAAATCAATTAATCGCATGATAATTAAAATTAGCTCGATAGTTTTTCTGCCCGCGATAAATGCCATTTGCAAATGGTTGTTTTTTTTCAGCGTCTCTCTCTCTCCCTCTCTCTCGGGTCAGCCGCAAAGTGGTCACGGGGACATTAGCGGTAGTAGTTGGTAGTGACTAAACTAGCACAGCTAGCGTGTTCGCCGATGCGGAAGTACCGTTTAATAATAAAATAAACTTATGGAGCACCTCCGTGAACACGTACTGCTGTTGTATAAGGGTTCTGGAAGGTCTCTGAACAAACGCTTTAGAGTTGCATTCTTGGAGAAGAACTTCACACAAAATGCAGCTAACTTTGTTAGCATCAAAGCCCGCCCGCTACTTCCGTCAGGCGCCACCGCAGCAGAACCTCTGTACGCCCCATTGGTGAACGCTCATGTCAGTCACTGGTCATTCGCATGGTGTGTGGGGAGGCGGCACTACTAGCGTAATCCACGGAGCGCAGCTGAAGAGCCGCGTGAGAAGTTTACCGGGAGGCACTGGGCAGAGAGAAAGCTAGTTGCGAGTGCGCGACAAAACGATGGAATTGGTTTCCAAGCCAAACGCGACAGCTGCAGTGTGGGAGCATTTCGGATTCAAACCGAATGCCCGTGGTGAACCACTGAACGTGTGCGAGCCGGTGTGTCGCATTTGTTGGAAAACCATTGCAGTTAAAAGCGGCAACACAACAAACACAATCATCCGCTGCAGTTTTCCCAGTTGGGAAAAAAAAACACTACAAGTGGGCCGTCTTCCTCTTCCCGACAGAGCAGTTAGTGGGGCGTTTATTCGACAAAGTACAAACAAGACAGTGCCAAATGGATTACACTCACACAGTGTAGTTCGCTTCATTGCTGAAGAGATGCAGCCCTTTTAGCATCGTGGAAAAGCCAGCATTTCAACAAAAGCTGCAAACATTTGACAGACAGTATGAATTGCCTTGGAGAACATGTGTCACAAACGGCCATTCCACAACTGTACAACACCGTGAAAAGACGACATACTTAAGGAGAACAAAGACATCCAGTGTTACTCTGCCACTACAGATATGTGGTCAAGTTCAAACATGACCCCCTATATGAGCTTGACTACACACTACATAACTTCTGACTGGACTCTGCATTCCAGTGTTTATAGACCAGATATGTCCCAGATATGTCCCAGATCACCATACTGCTGACACCCTTAGAGAAAACCTGAAGTGTGCTTTAGCAGACTAGGGACTGGATGAGCACAAACTAGTCTGCACTGCAGACAACGGTGCTAACATTGGGCCTCATTCACGAATAACTTCTTAAGAAGACTTCTTAAATTTCTTCTCAAGTCGTTCTTAAGTAGATTTTTAAGAAGACCCTACGTGGGATTCATCAACGCGCTCGTAAGCCGCTGAACTGTTCGCAGCTGTTCTCTCAGATTGATGAATGCCAACTCCTCATAAGTAGAGCGCGCGTGCCCGGTGCTTCATTAGCATAGGTACTTAGCATAGGTAACCGCCCACTAATGCCCGTATAAGGGACTGCAGGGCCGTGTGCAGACGCCAGAGGAAACAGCAACAGGCCTAAAGCAAAGAGTTACACGGAGCAAAAGAGTCGCCCTTTTTTCTTCTTTTGCCAAACTGAGAATAAAGTTATAAAATGTTGACTTAAAAGTCGAAAAATTATGAGAATAAAGTCGAACTAGCAAAATTACGAGATTAATCTAAAAATATGATGAGATTAATCTCAAATGTTATAAGCTTAATTTAAAAATATATTATGTATTAATTTAAAAATGAATCTCAAAATGTTTTGAGATTAATCTCAAAATATTTTGGACCCTGGGAGGAGATCCAGCGCGGACCAGCACTGAGACCAATGCAGACCCGAGGAGAGACTGAGTGACCAGCACACAGAAACCAGCGCGGACCTATAGGAGAGACCGCATAGACCAGACTGGAGAGACCAGCGCGGACCCGTATGGATCCAGGAGTGTGCAGCACGGACCCGTATGGAGAGACCAGTGCAGACCCGTCTAGATCCATAGGAGAGACCAGTGCAGACCCGTCTAGATCCATAGGAGAGACCAGCGCAGACCCGTATAGATCCATTGGAGAGACCAGTGCAGACCCGTATAGATCCATGGGAGAGACCAGTGCAGACCCGTATAGATCCATGGGAGAGACCAGTGCAGACCCGTATAGATCCATGGGAGAGACCAGCGCAGACCCGTATAGATCCATGGGAGAGACCAGCGCAGACCCGTATAGATCCATGGGAGAGACCAGCGCAGACCCGTATAGATCCATGGGAGAGACCAGCGCAGACCCGTATAGATCCATGGGAGAGACCAGCGCAGACCCGTATAGATCCATGGGAGAGACCAGCGCAGACCCGTATAGATCCATAGGAGAGACCAGCGCAGACCCGTATAGATCCATGGGAGAGACCAGCGCAGACCCGTATAGATCCATGGGAGAGACCAGCGCAGACCCGTATAGATCCATGGGAGAGACCAGCGCAGACCCGTATAGATCCACGGGAGAGACCAGCGCAGACCCGTATAGATCCACGGGAGAGACCAGCGCAGACCCTTATAGATCCACGGGAGAGACCAGCGCAGACCCGTATAGATCCATGGGAGAGACCAGTGCAGACCCGTATAGATCCATGGGAGAGACCAGTGCAGACCCGTATAGATCCATGGGAGAGACCAGTGCAGACCCGTATAGATCCATGGGAGAGACCAGTGCAGACCCGTATAGATCCATGGGAGAGACCAGCGCAGAGACTCAGTGCGGTCCGCAGCCTCCTGCAGCAGCAGTATAAATGCCATTGTTCTGTGGCCCGTGGATAAAGAAATGCCCCATATAAATAGGATGGGGTCACTAATACACGGCAAGATTTCCAATGTATTTGATAAAGTGTTGGCACATTTAATTTCAAAATGAATAAAAAAATAGGCTAAATTACCATTAAATAAATAAATACATACATCAATATGACGGACATATCACTGTAATGTTGTGTTTTATTGAACTTCATAACACCAGCGTGCCAATGTCAGCACTGAATGTGCGTACGAGGCTCCTGAGCACTCGTAGGATTTGTACTTACCTCAGAGAAATTCTGGTTTTGAGAAAATTTCATGAATGCCACATTCTTCGTAAAATCTTTGTAAGTAGGATTTACGCACAAATTTGTTTTAAGTACGGTTCATGAATGAGGCCCACTGTTGCTGCAATAAAAAATCTTGGCTGGCCATGGCTTAATTGCTTTGGCCACAACCTCTCGCTGTGTCCCATGGTCTGGACCGCATCAAAGATCGGACCGCTCGTGCCGTAGGACTCTTAAGAGTTGAACACATTTCACCTGAGCTGGCTTTAGAGGAGAGACCTGAGTGAGGCTGATCTCCTCCAACACAGTCTAATACTGGTGAGTGATGTTTGAGGATTTAAATTCATTGAATTTTAAAGACTTGTTATTTTTTATTTCATAGTAGCCTGTAGACTTACCGGTAGTAGTATTTTAGTATGCACTAGCATATACAAATAATATGCAAACAATTAATAATGAAAACGTAAAGTATTTGTTTGAAGATGTTGATATAAACTAATGAATCAGATCAATATTCTCTTTCTCACAGGATGTTGTCACACGATGGGGCACTAAGCAGAAGATGGTAGAGAGGGTGCTGGAGCAACTCCCAGCCATAAGGCGTGTCCTGGTTGAAGACAGAAAACATGGCCACCTCAACCCAACCTGGCAGGATGTTTCTGAGCAATGAACGCAGCAACGCAGCAATGAAACCACTGGCTGACTTCACAGACGTACTCTCAGGGGAAAAACACGTCCCAGTGTCCTCAGTTAAGCCTGTGCTGGAACTGATTAAAGACCTTCTCTCTCCAGGCCCTGATGATACTGCCCTGACATTCAGTATTAGACCCTGCACATGTTTTGTTTAACTGAAAAATACAGCTCACCTGCAGTTCAAGTCCTCCTGAGAAAGGCCACCCTCTTGGATCCCAGATATCGTGGCAGCATGGAGGAGGCAGGTGCAATGGAGGATGCCAAACATCAGCTTGTGGAAGAGCTACTGGACGGTACTAGTGGTGAGAGCTGCAGCACCGCTGAAGGAAACCAGGATGAACCTACAGCTGCTGCAACCACCAAGAACCACCAAGCACTCGTTGCATTTCCAACGAGTGCTGGCTGATGCAGAGCTGACCAAGTTCCTCCAAAAAGATTCTCTTGATGGATCTTGTGACTTCTGATGTGGTGGCCTGACAATCAAAACAGATATCCTTTGGTGTCCAAGTTGGCCCAAAAATACATGTGCATTTGTGCAACAAGCACCAGCTCAGAGAGAATGTTTAGCACAGCCGGCAACATTGCTACTCCTGAGAGATCCATGTTGGTATTTCTTTCTCTGAATCTGCCATGAAATATCTCTGAGAAACTATTGACATTTTTGAGGCATCTGTTCATAATTTTGTTTACTAAGGTCCTGGCAGTTTTATTCATCTTTTGTTAACAGAGACTGAGAGTCCATTTTATTTGTTGTTTTTGGTTGTTTGTTAATTTGTTGTGTTTGTGTAAAATAAAAGTGTATTTCTCTTTTGAAAAGCTGAACCTGCATTATTATCATTGTACTGGATGCAGATGATCTCAGAACGACGATATAATCGCCCATCGCAATCATTTCTGAGACAATTAATCGTCCAGCAACATTTGTTATCGTGACAGGCCTATGCCCAGAACATTTGCCCAGAGAGGAGACCATCAGGCATCTCAAACTGAGGAGCAACCTTCTCTGGCTCCTCTTAATGTGGAGGAGCAGCGGCTCTACTCCAAGTTCCTCCTGTGTGACTGAACTGTCTCTAATGGAGCTTGTATCCATGATCTCCTTTTGGTCAGAGCTCTGAGTGCAGACGCTGCTCCTAACACAGTCCTCTCTGCAGGAACACAAAGCCACCGTGCTGCAGCTAGAGGAGACAGAGCTCTGAGTGCAGACGCTTCTCCTAACACAGTCCTCTCTGCAGGAACACAAAGCCACCGTGCTGCAGCTGGAGGAGAACGTGTCCAGAGTGAAAACCCGTTACTCAAAGGCTCTGAGGAACCTGGAGCAGATCAGTGAGGAGATCCACGCCCAGAGGAGGACCAGGACCTCCTGCTCCGGCCCCAGGAGGCCCCCTGTGGGAGCAGAAGCTGAGAGTGGCCGAGAGGGAGACCAGGAGAGAGACCGAGAGAGAGGGGCGTGTGGAGGAGCGGACCAGGTGAGTACGCTTTAGTGAAGAAGTGAGGCTGAAAGAAGCTGTAATTTCTCTCTGGTCTTTCTCTGGTTCCTCTCTGGTCTCTCTCTGGTTCCTCTCTGGTTCCGTTCTGGTCTCTCTCTGGTTCCTCTATGGTCTCTCTCTCTGGTCCTCTCTGGTCTCTGATCTCTCTCTCTGGTCTCTAGTCTCTCTCTGGTCGCTGGTCTTTCTGGTCTAAGTGTGTGTTGATGGTCCACAGCTGGACGTGGTGACAGCGATGGAGCTGGTGGAGCGGTACAGAGAGAGGGAGAGAGACCGCTGTGGCTCGGACTCGGTCTCGGTCTTCAGTCTCCAGACCATCGCCTCGGACCTGGAACGCTACGACTCCGTGGACCATCTGGGAGATCTGAGCGACGTGAGCAGTGTGACGGGGGGGGAGGAGAGGGAGGGGGGGGAGGGAGAGAGAGGGGGAGGGGGTTAGGAGGGACCGAGCCAGCGACATCCGCAAGCAAGAGTTCAGCAAGACTCACCATCGCAGCTTCAGCCTGTGACGCAACGAAGAGAACCAGAACTGAAGCTTCAGCCTGTGACGTAACGAAGAGAACCAGAACTGAAGCTTCAGCCTGTGACGCAACGAAGAGAACCAGAACTGAAGCTTCAGCCTGTGACGCAACGAAGAGAACCAGAACTGAAGCTTCAGCCTGTGACGCAACGAAGAGAACCAGAACTGAAGCTTCAGCCTGTGACGCAACGAAGAGAACCAGAACTGAAGCTTCAGCCTGTGACGCAACGAGGAGAACCAGAACTGAAGCTTCAGCCTGTGACGCAACGAGGAGAACCAGAACTGAAGCTTCAGCCTGTGACGCAACGAGGAGAACCAGAACTGAAGCTTCAGCCTGTGACGCAACGAGGAGAACCAGAATTGAAGCTGGGCTCTGGGACTTTAAAGCTGGACTTTGTAACTCCCAGACTTATAGTATTAAACCCATGTCTTCAGTTCTGACTCTAAAACAGTTGCTTCTCTGGTCTCTCTCTCTGGTCTCTCTCTCTGGTCTCTCTCTCTGGTCTCTCACTCTGGTCTCTCTCTCTGGTCTCTCTCTGGTCTCTCTCTCTGGTCTCTCTCTCTGGTCTCTCTCTCTGGTCTCTCTCCCTGGTCTCTCTCTCTGGTCTCATGTGTTGTGATGAGATGAAGACCAGTTGTGTCTGATTGGTTCACATGTGACTTTAAGACTTTCTGTTGGAGGGGGCAAAGTCAGGTCCCCCAGCTTTAAGGTCTGCATATTTATTGTACTGTTTAAATGGATTGTAGTGTTTGTTGCCTGAGAAACAAGAGTAAAGCTAATGTGGCTATAGGCTACATGCACGGAGAGGCGTGACGTCATTCCCTGTAAACTCAGACCAGCCCGTTTACTTCCGGCCTGTGCTGTTGTCAAACCCCTGGCTCTCTCTACCTACAAGTCCCAGAGCACTTTAAAGGACTGGAAGTGCCCCTCATGGTCCTGTCACGTGTATCTCCCCTTTGTACGAAGGCAGCGTGAGTGACGTCTGACATGGCTGTCATGGGTCAGCTGTCAGGGTCAGAGGTCAGAAAGACTCGGTCCATAGCACATCTCAAGAGTCCATGTTGAGCACAAGATCTTTCCCTCACAGGAAGTGTGTGTGTGTGTGTGTGTGTGTGTGTGTGTGTTGATTTCTCTATTCTGAGGTCAAAAGTTTCTTATCTTACAAACAAGTTTATTCATACTACAACAATTATTACTTTACATAAGATTCAAACATCAAAATGACTGGTCTCTCTCTCTGGTCTCTCTCTTGTCTCTCTCTCTGGTCTCTCTGGTCCCTCTCTGGTCCCTCTCTGGTCCCTCTCTGGTCCCTCTCTGGTCCCTCTCTGGTCCCTCTCTGGTCCCTCTCTGGTCCCTCTCTGGTCCCTCTATGGTCCCCCTCTGGTCCCCCTCTGGTCCCCCTCTGGTCCCCCTCTGGTCTCCCTCTGGTCCCTCTCTGGTCTTTTTTTGATCAAGTATTTATGGTGTTGCGCTGCACACAGAAATGACAATGGTTATGAAGCAGAAGAAAAATGTGTGAACATTTTATATTTTTGTCCCCTCCCCCTCATGGGTCCACCCATCCCAGCATAAATACAGTGTCTGCGTAGGTTTCCTCCAGGTGCTCCGGTTTCCCCTACCACTAAAAACATGTGCAATAGGTCTGCCTCCTGTACTGGCCCCTCCCATCTCCGTGTGGAGTGACAGACAAATACCCACAATAACAACTGTAAACCACTTTGGTCTGTGAAAGGCGCTATATAAATAAACATTACTTACTAATATAATTATAGACACATAATATGGCAAACTTCCTCCGTCATTGACATCCACAGAAGCCGCAGTATATACATAATGTACAAAACAGTGAAAATGCAGTACAGAAAAGGTAAATAAAGGTTTTACATAGATCTAATACACTGGTGGATGTGCTATACAAGTTTGGTTAATAAATTAGACCAGCAGATGACATTTACAGATTTGGCCTCGTGAACCCGGGCTGCTGACAGTTCTGAGCGATCTCTCAAAAGCTGTTTAGACACTGTCAGTGTTTGCAGCGGTGAGCCCAACACAGTGTGGTCTGATGGCACTGGGTGTGGGGAGTATTCTGAGTGTGAAGTCAGAGACACGAGGAGACGGTGTTCCAGAACTGACTTCAGGACATTCCCAGATCAGGTGGAGGTCCCGATGGTATCTGCAGTAATCACAGTCAGGGTTCTCTTCAGCTTCATCTTCTGTAAATAGGACCTGTTTAGAAAGAGAGCATTTATAATGATCATTTGGTGATTTTGGTTTCTCGATGATAGTCATAGGTTGGACCAGATGTAGACCAGTCCCAGACCGAGTGGTCATTTAGACCTGATTTCCAACGTACTTCAACTGGCAGACGATTACATTGTGATTTTAGGATACTTTTCTATAGTTTGGAGACTTGAAAGGACGTCAGAAGTTTTCCCGTCTCTGAAGTCGTCTGTGAAAGAGCTCACGGTCCAGTAACAGCGAGGCTTTCTCTGGGTTAGTATAGATTAGTATAGATTTTGAGTCTCGGTCGGCTCAGTTCCACCTCAGTGTCTAATCTAGAGAGTTACTGACTGTAGTGACTTTAATGAATATTTAATGCATTGTCTTTAAGCTAACTGTGATTAAGGTCAGTGAACAGGTCAGTGGACAGGTCAGTACTTTCTGACCGTGGTCTTTCATGTTTGCATTGTTCATGGACGTCCATTTGTCACATGTTTGGGCGTCAGCATATGACACTGACAGATAAATATGTCTGTGACACTGACAGATAAATATGTCTGTGACACTGACAGATAAATATGTCTGTGACACTGACAGATAAATATGTCTGTGACACTGACAGATAAATATGTCTGTGACACTGACAGATAAATATGTCTGTGACACTGACAGATCAATATGTCTGTGACACTGACAGATCAATATGTCTGTGACACTGACAGATCAATATGTCTGTGACACTGACAGATAAATATGTCTGTGACACTGACAGATAAATAAATATGTCTGTAACACTGAGGAGTTCAGTGCAGGGTCCAGACCGAGATCAGAGATGGTCCGGACCCTGCAGACGCTCCTTTCCTTGCTAGTAAAAATAATCCTTGTCTGACTTGTGTTGTCTTTGTCCAGGGTACTGTAGTTTATTTCAAGCTTTAAAGTTACAGACCCCAGCTTTAAAGTCACAGACCTGAGCTTTAAAGTCACAGACCTGAGCTTTAAAGTCACAGACCTGAGCGTTAAAGTCACAGACCTGAGCGTTAAAGTCACAGACCTGAGCGTTAAAGTCACAGACCTGAGCGTTAAAGTCACAGACCTGAGCGTTAAAGTCACAGACCTGAGCGTTAAAGTCACAGACCTGAGCGTTAAAGTTACAGACCTGAGCTTTAAAGTTACAGACCTGAGCTTTAAAGTTACAGACCTGAGCTTTAAAGTTACAGACCTGAGCTTTAACATGAACTGGTCGTGGATTGTTTGAATCTTTCAGAGACTTTTGTGTGTGAATTATGAACGGGTCAGTCCTCAGCCTCAGGACCAAGACCGGGACTAGACCAGGGACTGAAGATACCAGGTCCAGACCAGGGACTGAAGAGACCAGATCCAGACCAGGGAGTGAAGAGACCAGGTCCAGACCAGGGAGTGAAGAGACCAGGTCCAGACCAGGGACTGAAGAGACCAGGTCCAGACCAGGGACTGAAGAGACCAGGTCCAGACCAGGGACTGAAGAGACCAGGTCCAGACCAGGGACTGAAGAGACCAGGTCCATGTGAAGACTCCACCCACGTTCCGCAGGGTCACCTGGTGTTCCCCGAGGTCTCCCATCACTGTACTAACCAGGCCATGTCCTGCTTAGCTTCAGAGGGCTACTGGATGGATACTTATGCACACCACTGTTTAATGTGACTGTGCTACATAAATAACCTGCCTTCATGGTGTGTGTGCTACATAAATAACCTGCCTTCATGGTGTGTGTGCTACATAAATAACCTGCCTTCATGGTGTGTGTGCTACATAAATAAACTGCCTTCATGGTGTGTGTGCTACATAAATAACCTGCCTTCATGGTGTGTTTGCTACATAAATAACCTGCCTTCATGGTGTGTGTGCTACATAAATAACCTGCCTTCATGGTGTGTGCTACATAAATAACCTGCCTCCGTGAGCTCATAATAGCAGCTGTCATCAGATTTAGGTCACATCCAAAATGAAAGCCTTCCTCCTTGTCCTGCCTCCTTCTTGTTTTCAGAGACTTCCGACACTTTTATTGTTGAATGAAATTAGCGTGAGATCAAAAAGTCTCGTGTTTAACTGGACTCGACCCGGAACTGGTTCTAAGGGTTCATGTTAAAACACAGTAAGTTTAACCAATAAGTTTATTCGGATGCGGCCCAAGCCATTAGCGGAGCATCACGGAGGAGGAGGAGAGCCGCGATCCGGAGCGAGCTGTGGTCCTCATCCCCGGGTCTGGAGCCATCACCACCGGTTCGGAACCATCACAGAACACGGAGCTACCACCGCGACACTCTGCAGCACGAACCCGGAGAGGAGCCATGGAAACCAGGCCAGAGTAATCCGCTGCTTTCCGAAGGTTCGTGGGTGAGTGTTTGGGATGCAGACGCTTCTGAAACGCTTCTGAAACGCGTCTGATTCGCGTCTGATTCAGTTGGTCGCGTGCTCCACCTGTACTGCCTCGCGCTCCGGTGTCATCTTTGCGGGAACACGGAGGGTTCACCGGGGGCTGTGGAGGCTGTTACCGGGGCGGAGAGAGGAAACAGGCCGCAGAGGAGGACCAGGCCGTCCGCCTCCGGTCCCAGGGCGACACGGAGCGGGTAAACATGAGCTGTGAGCTAACCCTGAGGAGAGCTAACCCTGATGGAGCTTACCCAGTGTGTGTGTGTGTGTGTGTGTGTTTGTTTGTATACGTGTGTGTGTGTTTGTGTATACATGGGTGTGTGTGTGTGTGTGTTTGTATATTTGTGTGTCTATGTATTTATTTGAGCAGACAAGTTCTGCTCAAAAGGAGCAGAAAAAGGTGTCTCCTGTGTGTTCAGCACCGCGGACAGCTCCATCAGGGTTAGCTCTCAGAGAGACCAGAGAGAGACCAGAGAGAGGCCAGAGGAGAGACCATAGAGAGAGACCAGAGAGAGAGACCAGAGAGAGACCAGAGAGAGACCAGAGAGAGAGACCAGAGAGAGAGACCAGAGAGAGACCAGAGAGAGAGACCAGAGAGAGACCAGAGAGAGAGACCAGAGAGAGAGACCATAGAGAGAGACCAGAGAGAGAGACCAGAGAGAGACCAGAGGGAGACCAGAGGGAGACCAGAGAGAGAGACCATAGAGAGAGACCAAAGAGAGAGACCAGAGGGAGACCAGAGAGAGAGACCAGAGAGAGACCAGAGAAAGACCAGAGAGAGACCAGAGAGAGAGACCAGAGAGAGAGACCAGAGAGAGACCAGAGGGAGACCAGAAGGAGACCAGAGGGAGACCAGAGGGAGACCAGAGGGAGACCAGAGAGAGACCAGAGGGAGACCAGAGGGAGACCAGAGGGAGACCAGAGGGAGACCAGAGGGAGACCAGAGGGAGACCAGAGGGAGACCAGAGGGAGACCAGAGGGAGACCAGAGAGAGACCAGAGGGAGACCATTTACATATTTCAACATTTCTTTCTAAAATGGCTTCATTCCCACAGCCTTTTGGCTCCAGGCCAAAAACAGAAAACGCCAAGAACCAGAGACAATGGGACACTCTGATAGTGACAGAACTGGTATCTCTCTGGTTTCTCTCTCTGGTCTCTCTCTCTGGTCTATCTCTCTGGTCTCTCTCTGGTCTCTCTCTGGTCTCTCTCTGGTCTCTCTCTCTGGTCTCTCTCTCTGGTCTCTCTCTATGGTCTCTCTCACTGGTCTCTCTCTGTGGTCTCTCTCTCTGGTCTCTCTCTGGTCTCTCTCTGGTCTCTGTCTCTGGTCTCTCTCTCTGGTCTCTATCTCTGGTCTCTCTCTGGTCTCTCTCTCTGGTCTCTCTCTGGTCTCTCTCTCTGGTCTCTCTCTCTGGTCTCTCTCTGGTCTCTCTCTGGTCTCCTTCTGGTCTCTCTCTGGTCTCTCTCTCTGGTCTCTCTCTCTGGTCTCTCTCTGGAACTCTCTCTGGTCTCTCTCTCTGGTCACTCTCCGGTCTAAATCTGGTCTCTGGTTGCCATGGAGATGGTTCTGGCTGTGTGCCCATGGTGCTGGGACCAGAGTGAGGACAGATGGTCATGTTTCCACCAAGCAGCTCCTAATTCTACACCAGCTGGACCAGAGAGAGACCAGAGGGAGAGACCAGAGAGAGAGACCAGAGGGAGAGACCAGAGAGAGACCAGAGAGAGACCAGAGGGAGATACCAGAGGGAGAGACCAGAGAGAGAGACCAGAGGGAGAGACCAGAGGGAGAGACCAGAGGGAGAGACCAGAGAGAGACACCAGAGAGAGAGACCTGGCATAGGCCGTATTGGCAAATGCTAAGGTCTATCCACTAGGGGGCGCCACGCCAGTGTTAGAAACGGGAAAGAAAAACAAGTGTATCTTTAACTTTAGACCTGCTCCCTTCTACATCAAACAGACCTTAGATTGTTTATGAGTTAGTATCAGGATTAGGGTGTGGCTAACCACACCCATAGGTTATAAATCTCCAACGCGCGGTCTGAGAATTCATTCCCTGAAGAAGTCCGCTGGTTTGAGGACGAAACGTCGGGAAAACTTGCTAAGAAGTACAGATGATGGGTGAGAAACCTTCCTTTGCTTTGACTAATCCCTGTACGACTGAGGGCTTACACAAACACTCTTTAACTGTTTTTATAACTTGTTGGTTCTATTTGATGGCCTTGGCCCCTAATGGCCTTGGCCCTTGATGGCCTAGGTTCCTGATGGTCTTGGCCCCTGATGGCCTGGGTCTGGCCCTGGACCAGACCTGATGAATGTAAACGTGTGTTTCTGATGTTTTGCTTCTGTGTTAGATCCAAGATGGCCGCCGCTCTGCTGGGACTCCTGCTGCTCCTCTGTCTGCTCCCCCTGGTCCTAAACACCCACAGCTCCTCGGGAGGTGAGTCACACAGAGCAACACAGAGCAACACAGAGTCACACAGAGTCACACAGAGCAACACAGATCAACACAGATCAACACAGAGTCACACAGAGTCACACAGAGTCACACAGAGTCACACAGAGCAACACAGAGCAACACAGAGTCACACAGAGTCACACAGAGTCACACAGAGCAACACAGAGCAACACAGAGTCACACAGAGTCACACAGAGCAACACAGAGTCACACAGAGCAACACAGAGCAACACAGAGTCACACAGAGTCACACAGAGTCACACAGAGCAACACAGAGTCACACAGAGCAACACAGAGTCACACAGAGCAACACAGAGCAACACAGAGTCACACAGAGTCACACAGAGCAACACAGAGTCACACAGAGCAACACAGAGCAACACAGAGTCACACAGAGTCACACAGAGTCACACAGAGTCACACAGATCAACACAGAGTCACACAGATCAACACAGTGTACAAGAGTGGGTCTCCTCCTGGTCTCCTCCCGGTGGGATGTGCCTGGAACACCTCCCCAGGGAGGAGACCAGGAGGCATTTGGAACAGATGAGCCACCTCAACTGGTTCCTCTCCACGTAGAGGAGCAGCGGCTCTACTCCGAGCTCCTCCCGTGTGACTGAGCTCCTCACCCTATCTCTAAGGGAGCAGCGGCTCTACTGGTTCTATTTGATGGCCTTGGCCCCTAATGGCCTTATTCTCTGCGGAGGAAGATCATGTGACTCTTGTATCTGTGATGTCGTTCTTTCTGCTCTGATCGTCCTCAGTCTCACCTCCTCCACTTGGGGAAGGACCACTCCACCTTATTATTAATTATATTAACAATAATAACAATAATAATCATGTTATTGTGGTTTTCAGGCTGTGGAATCATCAAACCTCCACGAGAAGGAGGGATCCGCTACAGAGGGCTGACCCAGGACCAGGTGAGAGACCAGAAGGAGACCAGAGAGAGACCAGAGAGAGACCAGAAGGAGACCAGAGAGAGACCAGAGAGAGAGGCCAGAGAGAGAGGCCAGGGAGAGAGACCAGAGAGAGAGACCAGAGAGAGAGACCAGAGAGAGACCAGAGAGAGACCAGAGAGAGACCAGAGAGAGAGACCAGAGAGAGAGACCAGAGAGAGACCAGAGAGAGACCAGAGAGAGAGACCAGAGAGAGAGACCAGAGAGAGAGACCCGCTGACTCCTGGTGTGTCTCAGATCCGCAGTATCCAGATCCTTCCTGTGGACTATGAGATCGAGTACATCTGCAGAGGGAACAGAGTCATCGTGGGGCCCAAGGTGCGGAAGTGTTTGCCCAATGGCACATGGACAGACATGAACCTGCACAGCAGCTGCTGTAAGTACTGCTACTGCTACTGCTGCTGCTACTGCTACTGATACTGCTACTTCTCCTGCTGCTACTACTACTGCTACTACTACTGCTACTACTACTACTGCTACTACTTTAAAGCTGGGGTCCGTGACTTCAGCCCAGTGTAACTGGTGTGTGTGTCCAGTGCTGGTGTGCCCTCGGGTCTGGACCTCTCTGGAGAACGGCCGGGTGCTGGTGTCTCCTCCTGGTCTCTCTGAAGGCCCAGTGCTGCCCCCTTCAGGCCCCGCGGTGGAGGGCACCGTCCTGCACTACAGCTGCCACGCAGGCTTCATCCTGGAAGGACGCAACAGCAGCCTCTGCACCAAGCTGGGGAAGTGGGACTCTCCCAAACCCAGCTGTCTCTGTGAGTCTCTCTGCTCTCTCTCTGCTCTCTCTCTCTGGTCTCTCTCTCTGGTCTCTTTCTGGTCTCTCTCTGGTCTCTCTCTGGTCTCTCTCTGGTCTCTCTCTGGTGTCTCCCTCTGGTCTCTCTCTCTCTGGTCTCTCTCTCTGGTCTCTCTCTCTGGTCTCTCTCTCTGGTCTCTCTCTCTGGTCTCTCTCTCTGGTCTCTCTCTCTGGTCTCTCTCTGGTCTCTCTCTGGTCTCTCTCTGGTCTCTCTCTCTGGTCTCTCTCTCTGGTCTCTCTCTCTGGTCTCTCTCTGGTCTCTCTCTGGTCTCTCTCTGGTCTCTCTCTGGTCTCTCTCTGGTCTCTCTCTGGTCTCTCTCTGGTCTCTCTCTGGTCTCTTTCTGGTCTCTTTCTGGTCTCTCTCTCTGGTGTCTCCCTCTGCTCTCTCTCTCTCTGGTCTCTCTCTGGTCTCTCTCTCTGGTCTCTCTCTGGTCTCTCTCTGGTCTCTCTCTGGTCTCTCTCTGGTCTCTCTCTGGTCTCTCTCTGGTCTCTCTCTCTGGTCTCTCTCTGGTCTCTCTCTGGTCTCCATGGTCTCTCTCTGGTCTCTCTCTCTCTGGTCTCTCTCTGGTCTCTCTCTGGTCTCTCTCTGGTCTCTCTGTGTTAGTTATATAAATCCTTTTGTTTCTGTTTCAGATGATAAAAACTACACAGGTGAGAATCATTTTACCAACATTATTAAACATCCATCCATTTTCTTCCCCTTAATCCATGTCTGTGTGGGTGGTGGCAGTCAGAGCACCAGCTCCTCCCTGATCACATGAGTCCACAGGAGTCCACAGGAGTCCACAGGAGTCCACAGGAGTCTGTGACCTTTGTCTCACAGAAGGAAGCGTCTGGGGAGGGGTGTGTTAAAGTCTCTATCAGTGTGGAAAACTATCCAGGTCTAAAGCAGGACTAAAGCAGGTCTAAAGCAGGACTAAAGCAGGTCTAAAGCAGGTCTAAAGCAGGTCTAAAGCTTAGGTCTAAAGCAGGTCTAAAGCAGGTCTAAAGCAGGTCTAAAGCAGGTCTAAAGCAGGTCTAAAGCAGGTCTAAAGCAGGTCTAAAGCAGGTCTAAAGCAGG